CACGCACATGCACACACATACACGCACGCACATGCACACACATACACGCACGCATACCCACACCTCGGCCTGAGCCCCCTCTCGCAACCTGCCAGGTCGCACCGCCGCCGCTCCCGCAACCCGCGCCTTTCAAGGCTCCCTCGGCTGCCCAACCCCCTCCCCGCCCCGCCCCGCGCCCCTACGCCCCGTCTCGCCTGACTACTAGGTTGTCGCGCTGTGTGAGAAGCCGCGCGACCCGCCGCTCCAGTACATAGTGGCGGACACCCCCGGGCAGATCGAGATCTTCACTTGGAGCGCCAGCGGGCAGCTGGTGACGGAGCTGTTCGCGTCGGGGTTCCCGACGATCGTGGCTTACGTGATCGACACGCCGCGGTGCGTGGGAGGGGGCGCGGGGGGCGGCTTTGCATGCGCGCTCGCTGTGATAGCGGCAGATCAAGACACACCAACAGAGACAGTAGGGGGGGAAGGGATGAGAGTGACGGGGAAGAGAACGACAGAGACACAGGGGGACGGAGAGAGACTGTGACTGTGGATTGGTGCGCCCATGGTTACATGTTGCATTGTGTCTACTCGAGGTGATCGAGTCTCCAGGGTTCATGTGTCTCAACATGTTGGCTGCCAGCTACTCATCAACCCCGGCCCTGGCGTACTCTCCCCTCTCTTCCCCTAATCGCCCCAGGTGCGCCGCCCCCCAGACGTTCATGAGTAATATGCTGCAGGCGGTCAGCATTTTGTACAAAACGAAGCTGCCCCTACTGCTGGTGGGTGCTTCAGGCCTCGTGCATATGATAGCATTCTGCATTCCATTGCACTTGTTACATCAAAGAAGACACGGATCTTGCAGCAATCCACAGCGTACGGTGCACATGTGATTGCGGTGGCGCAAGGCGGGAGGAAGGATGTTTGCAAAGGGCCCCACCCAATCCGCCGCGGAGGCCGCGCCGCCGGCCCCGCCGCGCGCTGCGGCGGCGTGCGGCGCGACGCCGCGCTCCCTCGCCCCGCCCCGCATGGACTCCGTGCGGCTGTCAGCCAGGCACGAGGCCGTGAGGCCCAGGCCTGGATCTCCAAACCTCACATTCCCTGTGCCAACCCCTCCGTTACACACACATATGCGCGTGTGCCGCACACGCGCGTGCGCACGCTCATGCATCCACACTGTGCACATACACACGAACCCACACACACGCGTGCACACACACACAAACAATTACACACACATAATCACACACACAAATACACACGCATGCACACAATCACACACAAACAACAAGGTGTTCAACAAGATCGACGTCGCGCGCCACGACTTTGCCCTGAATTGGATGGACGATTTTGATGCGTACGCGGCCGCGCTGGAGGCCGACAGCAGCTATGCGGCCACACTCAGCAGGTGACTTTGGGAGGCCCGGGGGCGCATGCGTGTGCGCGCGTGTGAGGTTCCACGGGATCCTGTGTGCGGCGCGTTTCGACCTGTGTTCTCGTGTTGATGCGATTGTGGGTGTCTCGTGTTTGCATGTGTGTGCACGCGGCACGCCTGCCCGATTGCTCGGCTGTCATCCCAAACACTTCCTGCCAAGCTTGGACCCAAGGCATGGCTCCACCAAGCAGTGCCCGCCATCACTTCATGAGAAGCCCCCCTCCAAACCTCCAGCCTCCAGCCTCCACCCCCCACACACACACACATATCACCCCATCTCCCCTCACCCCCCCCCCAGAC